TCATTGCATCAGGTGTCACCCCGTACAGCTAGATCTCTCATTGCACTAGATGTCACCCCGTACAGCTAGATCTCTCATTGCATCAGGTGTCACCCCGTACAGCTAGATCTCTCATTGCACCAGGTGTCACCCCGTACAGCTAGATCTCTCATTGCACTAGGTGTCACCCCGTACAGCTAGATATCTCATTGCACCAGGTGTCACCCCGTACAGCTAGATCTCTCATTGCACCAGGTGTCACCCCGTATAGCTAGATCTCTCATTGCATCAGGTGTCACCCCGTACAGCTAGATCTCTAATTGCACCAGGTGTCACCTTGTACAGCTAGATCTCTTATTGCACCAGGTGTCACCTCGAACAGCTAGATCTCTCATTGCATCAGGTGTCACCCTGTACAGCTAGATCTCTCATTTCACCAGGTGTCACCTCGAACAGCTAGATCTCTCATTGCATCAGGTGTCACACGAACAGCTAGATCTCTCATTGCACCAGGTGTAACACCGTACAGCTAGATCTCTCATTTCACCAGGTGTCACCCGAACAGCTAGATCTCTCATTGCACCAGGTGTCACCTTGTACAGCTAGATCTCTCATCTCTCACAGTCAAGTTCATACTAGAGACTACACTGCAGATATAGATAATTTATTTCAAGCGATCAAAAGAAGAAGCAGAAGAAGAAGAAGAAGAAGAAGAAGAAGAAGAAGAAGAAGAAGAAGAAGAAGAAGAAGAATAAGAACAAGAAGAACAAGAACAAGAACAAGAACAAGAAGAACAAGAAGAAGAAGAAGAACAAGAACAAGAAAGAGGAAAAGGTTATTGGGTGGGGGGGGGGAATAAGACAATAATTTAAAAAAAAAGAACAAATAAAACATTAAAGACATTTATATACACACACAAACACATACAGAAAGAGAGAGAGAGAGAGAGAGAGAGAGAGAGAGAGAGAGAGAGAGAGAGAGAGAGAGAGAGAGAGAGAGAGAGAGAGATGCTCATTAAAACAAACAAGAGTCATAGTCTGTGGCAAAAATGTTTATCTATTTTATAGTATCATGCTGAATGTAGAACATAAAAAACCACAAGATAATATAAATGTGATATTTTTGTTTTGTATCTAATCTGGTAAATCTGGTAATCATAGTTTCAGCTTTATGGCAAACGGGTCACCCCATAGCTGCTCCGCTCCTGTGCCAGCGAAAAACACACAGAATCTTTATCACAGTCCCTTGTGGAAAGATTGACAGACTGCTGTCTCAACAAATGCACTAGCATACACAGGCATTAAAAGCATACGGTAGCCATCCGAAGTGCTAACACAAATAGTCCGACATTAGAAATGCAGTTCATTATGGATGGTTGAACTAACAGAATTCACAAACAAATCAGCAGTTGCACACGCGATCAATTTTAATCACATAATGGCACCACCAATATTGCGACAACCGGCATCATGCCATTTTCTGAATTTACATTTCACACCACCACATTGGTCACAGTCGAAAAACATTCCAAATGAAATCCGCAGCTCACAGTGTCACGCCATGCACTCAACTCAGAACCTAGGCAACGAAACTATATCCTGTCAGTAACAAATGGAGCAAAAATACAACGGCCATCGTCTGGCAGAAGCAAAAAATTTGCGACGGCTGAAAACAGTAGCCGTGCTATTTTGTCTCTAAGAACATTACATGTAGTAAATAAACATACTAGCAAAACACATTCGCATGATTGTTTTTGTTTTTACTGTAACAAAAACTGGTGTTAACTGAGATCTTAATTGTTAGCTCTGGAATGTACAGTGTTGGATTGTCACAACCTCTCTCTCCCTCTCTCTCTCTCCCTCTCTCCCTCCCTCTCTCTTTCCCTCGCTCTCCCTCTCTCTCCCTCCCCCTCTCTCTCTTTCCCTCCCCTTATTTCTCTCTCATAGATGATCATAATACGCACACTAACACAAACACACACACACACCCTAACACAAACACACAGACACACACACATCTTGTGACCGTTTTCAGCATAGATAACACCTAGAACTGTTGAATAAAACATACACACTCTCTCACACACACACGCGCGCACACACACACATACACACACACGAACACACACACACGCGAACATAAAAAAAACTTATCATGTCCAGCTTGTTTGATTGAACAACCATTAGGCCAGCTTGTTTCATGGAACAACCATTAGACTAGCCTGTTTGACTGAACAGCCATTAGGCCAGCTTGTTTGACTGAACAGCCATTAAACTAGCTTGTTTGACTGAACAGCCATTAGACCAGCCTGTTTGACTGAACTGCCATCAGACCAGCTTGTTTGACTGAACAGCCATTAGACCAGCTTGTTTGACTGAACAGCCATTAGACCAGCTTGTTTGACTGAACAGCCAATAGACCAGCTTGTTTGACTGAACAGCCATCAGACCAGCTTGTTTGACTGAACTGCCATCAGACTAGCTTGTTTGACTGAACAGCCATTAGACCAGCCTGTTTGACTGAACAACCATTAGACCAGCCTGTTTGACTGAACAGCCATTAGACCAGCTTGATTGATTGAACAACCATTAAACTAGCTTGTTTGATTGAACAGCCATTAGACTAGCTTGTTTGACTGAACAGCCATTAAACTAGCTTGTTTGATTGAACAGCCATTAGACCAGCTTGATTGACTAAACATTCATCAGACCAGCTTGTTTGATTGAACAGCCATTAGACCAGCTTGTTTGACTGAACAGCCATTAGAGAAGCTTGTTTGACTGAACAGCCCTTCGACCAGCCTGATTGATTGAATAGACATAAGACCAGCCTGATTGATTGAACAGCCATTAGACCAGCTTGTTTGACTAAACAGCCCTTAGACCAGCATGTTTGACTAAACAACCATTAGACCAGCCTGTTTGATTGAACAGCCATTAGACCAGCTTGTTTGACTGAACAGCCCTTCGACCAGCCTGATTGATTGAATAGACATAAGACCAGCCTGATTGATTGAACAGCCATCAGACCAGCTTGTTTGACTGAACAGCCCTTAGACCAGCATGTTTGACTAAACAACCATTAGACCAGCCTGTTTGATTGAACAGCCATTAGACCAGCCTGTCTGACTGAACAGCCATTAGACAATAGCGTGTCCCGTGTGTGAGGTTATGCCTATGTCTTATAGCGTCCAGGTGCCTATTGGGGGAAGTAAAGGACAAACCCAACTGCCTCCCTAACAAGCATGTCCTAAGAGTTCTGGAACCAGATTAAAGTCCATAAATGGGCGAACAACAAGAACTTTCTAGAGGACTTTACAGACAGTGAACACGGAGAAGAAACAAATGTGTGGCCCAGCTTTGCCCTGGCAGACACGTGTTGGTGATCGTTGTCTGTGTTTGCTGCCCGCCCGACACACGTGTTGGTGATCGTTGTCTGTGTTTGCTGCCCGCCCGACACACGTGTTGGTGATCGTTGTCTGTGTTTGCTGCCCGGCCGACACACGTGTTGGTGATCGCTGTCTGTGTTTGCTGCCCGGCCGACTCTATGTATAGCTCCAGAAGGGCGTGCTTTGGTGGAGTCCTAGTCTTAGGCTCACCAGAGGTCCCGCTATCACAGAGACAGTGTCGTTTTGTCGGTGTGCCGGTTCATTAAAAAAAAATCTACACATAAGCTCCAGAATAGAACATACACTGATAGTTATACGAAGTTACCTCCATAGAACTTGAAGGATTTAACATCGTTACCTCCATAGAACTTGAAGGATTTAACATCGTTACCTCCATAGAACTTGAAGGATTTAACATCGTTACCTCCATAGAACTGAAAGGATTTAACATCGTTAGATACTTTAAATACCTCAAATATATTGATAGCTAATGGGGAAAGTATGACGTCGGAATTTTTATTTTAAAAGCCATTTATTTTAATTAAGATAGGCTGGGGGCTTTAACTCTTGGAGTCCGTGGAGGGGGAAAAGGGGGATATTGGGGGGGGGGGGGGGGGGGGGGGGGGGGGGGGGGGGGGGGGGGGGGGGGGGGGGGGGGGGGGGGGGGGGGGGGGGAGGAGTGGACTGATTCGAAATTCCCATTTTCAACTTAGAATTTTTGTAGGAAATTCAATTGTTAACTGCAGAGATTGTTGTCTCCCCAGGTCGTATAGACGTTTGGGCTACTGTTGGATGTTCCTTCTAGCGGCTTTTAGTGCGTTTCATAACTCATGCTGTTATACGTCAACAAATATTTTAATAACTCCTATACAGACCAACACGAATGTTCGCATGTTTCTTTAGATTTCCCTATATGTTTATTATTATATTACTTACAATTGTGTAGATGCTGCATTTTTTTTCTAAAAGCGGCGAATTTGGTTGATCTTTGCTTGACTAATAGTTTCAGGGCAAAACTGAAAACGGGGACGCAATCTATTGCATGCTTATAGCGACTATTAAGGACAATAGGACTAACCCTAACACTATACCAAACCCAAACCTTATCCCTAATCTCAAACCTTATTAAATATTAAAGAATATTATTTTATGAATTTACACAAACAATCGATTACCTCCCTGGTAAATTTAAAGCAATGGTGAGGTACAACAGATTGCATCCCTTAGGGTCACCGTTTTCAGTTTTGCCAAAATCTGTACCCCTGAGAAATAGAATACACACTAGGTGTCTGTTTTTTGAGATTCCGAAGAAAAAAAAGAAGCAAAATGAAAACTAGATGTGTGTTTACATAAAATAAAATTTTTTATAAGGATATGATTAGTAACGGACTGCATGCCAAATGTCAAAAACGGACACCAAACGGTGTCTGAGTTCAGATTGTTTAAGTTCGGCAGCACTTTTGGAACGGAATATCACTAAATATAGCATCCGGTAGTAAAGTATAGTTTATGTTGTGATGTTCAAAGAGCCAGACAAAGTTACCGGGGAAAGCCCTTCAAATAATATCTGCCCCCGTGCGTGTACCCGTTGGCTAGGGTGTCTATATTTAGCTTGCTGGAATCTCTGCCAGACTGTTTCGGTGGCTTGTGGGAAATCATGGTTGGATCGTTAACAGAAATCGTATGGGTTGGCGGGAGTTTCTGTCGTCTCTTTTTGTTACTGTTGCTTTTGGTTGACTGCTTCTGCTTCCCTTCAGACTGCTGATTCCGCATTCGTTGTTGCCACCTCTGTAATGATAGCATTTAACAATCAGTTCAAACAGAACATAACATTTACGAGGCAATCATAGGAATACTCTGATAAAGCAGCATTAAAAGTCTCTAGTTAAGCACTTGCAAGGAATTCAGCAGTCAGTTTTGAGAGCATTCATCTCGTCTGTAGCAACATACGGGTACAAGTCGTGATCTCGCAGTCCTTGAGGAAGAAAATAATTTTTTTTTTTAAGTTGAGAGGCTTTAGAAAGATTCACAGAATACGCATATGGACGAAGAAGAGAAGAAATACTTGCACTAGGATAGTTGGCTAATAAACAACAAAATATTTCGGAAGCTAAAATATTTTGGCCATACCATGCGCAATGACAGACTGGGAAAATAACAACAAAAGGCACGGTACCAGGAAGGAGCGGCAGGGACCGAGCAGCACGAGGATGGGCACGTGCTATACGTGACTCCTTGGGTATGAAAGTACATGAAGCAGGAGAGCAGGTCAAAGACGTTTTCTTCCCCTCCTTTCCCAGGCGGACCGCGATTAGGAGCGAAGTTCACCTGCTACATGATGATGATGACAACCTTCTTCTTCCAGAGATTCATTTGTGACATTTGATGACAACCTTCTTCTTCCAGAGATTCATTTGTGACAAAGTGTGTTAGGATTATATTTTTAGAAGTTGACTCGAAAGACTCCTGCTAGACTACCACCGTCATTACCACCACCACTACTACTACCACCACCATCACCAGCACCAACACTACTACTACCACCACCATCACCAGCACCAACACTACTACTACCACCACCATCACCAGCACCAACACTACTACTGCTACCACTAATACTACTAACACCACCATTACCACCAACACCACTACTACAACTTCTGCTACTACAACAATTATTACTGCTGCTGCTACTACTACTGCTACTACCACCAATACTACTGCTACGACCACTATTACCACTATTACCACCACTACTGCTACTACTACCAGCACCACTAACCCTGCTACCACTAATACTACTACCACTACCACCACTCAAGCCACTATTACTACTACTATCACTACTACCACTAATGCTACCACTACTACTACCACAACTACTATCACCGCCACTACTACTACAACTACTACCATCTATTACTACTATTATTACTACTACTATTACGACTACAACAACAACAACTACTACTACCACAACAACCACCACTACCAATGCTGCTTCTGTTGCTTCTACTCCTGTTGCAGCTGCTGCTACTAATACTAATGCTACTGATGTTGCCACTACTCCTAATGTGCAGAAAACCTGGCTCCACTTCCTGTTCCAGATAGCTTTTTATAAACTTACATTTACACTGATCAGATCTAGAATAAATACATTCTAAATGAGACGGCGAAATGTGTGAAAATTACACGGAGAATGAGGTAACTAATTATTGTACAAATGGTTCCTGTGTGTAAGCAGTTAGAAGGACAATATAGAAGATCATTCATTAGGAAACAAACATAAGCACCAGCAGACACGATGTATGACATAATACATCTAATACGCCGCCCAACATTCAGCTTAACATAAAACAGGTACTGACCACCGTTATACATCCAACAACTGACAGAAATTAATCAAAAACCGGGTCAACAATCGGAAACATAAGGGACATTCCATGATAAATAACTCATGCAAAACACTGAATCGCCGTCTTATATAACATTATGAATAGCACAGTTAGCACATAGAAACAAGACCAGACATGTGTGGGGTAAGGTGCCCCATTATGAGGAAAACACAAATGGACCCACTGCCTCTCCAACAAGCATGTCGTGGGAGTCTAACTGGGATTTTCCTTCAAGGAACAACCAACTGCACACACAAAAACCAGCAAAATGGACGTATGCACAAAAGTCAGATCCTGGCACGAATCAAAACTCCAGATCACCGCCTTCTCCAGTCGGCCGTACTCTAGATGGACCAACAACCAGGACTTTCCGTTGGAGCTTACAAGCGGTGAACACAGAAGAGGACATTATAAGCCGACATACAGAATTACCATCAATATAAATTCCGTATCATGCAAACACAAGTACACCTAACTATATACGACTGTGGGACATGGTTTACAACTGTGTGACATGGTTTTACGACTGTGGGACATGGTTTTACGACTGTGGGACATGGTTTTACACTGGTAAATCTTTCTTGAAGTGGTTCCGGAAACGTTTTATTTGATGAGTCCAGATATAACGTTTTGTTTATAGTGGGTCTTGGATGAGAAAGCATTTATACTTTAGCGATCAGTGATCAATTTTGGGGGAGATCAAACAGTTATTTCCACTAATATTCACAGAAAATGACTTGCCTGAATTTTGATGACCCAGGCGTCTCTCCAGGGAACAGCAACTGACAAAGGTGAAATCATAAGCTTGGTCCCTGTACTGTCTTCATGTCCAAGGATAAGGATTTCCCGGCCCTTCCGCAACTTCGGACACACGCAAGTTGAGTTGACCCAGAGAAGGACATCCGTGTCTACAGGCACTGTGACCTTTCCCGAGAAGAGTGTTTGTATGACCTTAACCTTGTACACCACTTCCTGATCACTGATGCTCTTCTTGACAACAAGTGCCCGAATACCTGCAAGTTGAGGAAGATAATCCAGATAATGAACACACACCGACAAACATCTAGTTGCACTGTGTTTATTCAACATAAGATGGGTCCCTGATGCCCCGCCCCTTCACACACTACCCCCACTTTGACTACAGTTACTTCTTACCGTAGGGAGACCCCATACAAACGGGGTTTTATGGATTTGCTCCCGTTTGATGGCATGCGACTAGAGTCAGTCATTTAGCAACTCTTTCTCTTGTAAGCGTTCACCAGCTGTAGACTTTGGCGAGAAGCTCATCGACCTCTGGACGAACAGCCACAACGTGAGAAGCTCATTAACCTCTGGAGGAACAACCACAACGTGAGAAGCTCATCGACCTCTGGCGGAACAACCAAAACGTGAGAAGCTCATCAACCTCTGGAGGAATTACCAGAACGTGAGAAGCTCATCAACCTCTGGACGAACAACCACAAGGTGAGAAGCTCATCAATCACTGGAGGAACAACCACAACGTGAGAAGCTCATCTACGTCTGGACGAACAACCACAACGTGAGAAGCTCATCGATCTCTGGACAAACAACCACAACGTGAGAAGCTCATTAATCTCTGGAGGAACAAGCACAACGTGAGAAGCTCATCAACCTCTGGGCGAACAACCACAACGTGAGAAGCTCATTAATCTCTGGAGGAACAAGCACAACGTGAGAATCTCATCAATCTCTGGACTAACAGCCAGAACGTGAGAAGCTCATCAACCTCTGGACGAACAGCCAGAACGTGAGAAGCTCATCAAATCTCTGAACGAACAGTCAGAACGTGACAAGCTCATCAACCTCTGGACGAACAGCCAGAACGTGAGAAGCTCATCAACATCTGGACGAACAGCCAGAACGTGAGAAGCTCATCAAATCTCTGGACGAACAACCAGAACGTGAGAAGCTCATCAACCTCTGGAGGAACAACCACAACGTGAGAAGCTCATCAATCTCTGAAGGAACAACCACAACGTGAGAAGCTCATCAACCTCTGGAGGAACAACCACAACGTGAGAAGCTCATCAATCTCTGAAGGAACAACCACAACGTGAGAAGCTCATCAACCTCTGGACGAACAACCAGAACGTGAGAAGCTCATCGATCTCTGGACAAACAACCACAACGTGAGAAGCTCATTAATCTCTGGAGGAACAACCACAACGTGAGAAGCTCATCAATCTCTGGACGAACAACCAGAACGTGAGAAGTTCATCAACCTCTGGACGAACAACCAGAACGTGAGAAGCTCATCAACCTCTGGACGAACAACCAGAAGGTTTTGGACGTCTTGTTTCAGAACCCTAGTTGTGCGTGCACATCATCCGTTTGACAGATCCGGTTTATTTGTATAAAGAAAAGTAAAGATCCTAAGGCGCATTGGGTATATGGGAAAAGCGTCCCATATTTTTACAGACCAATCGGCCCTGGGTGGATAATGTGGTCAGCATTACGCCAGCCGTCTTTACTTCCCAAGGACAGCCATCCTGGTACCCATTTTAGACTAGGTCGCCCTGCGACGCCCCATACCATGATAAAAAATCCACGCAGCCAGCAGTGGGTTTCAATCTCAGTACGTTGGATTACGAGTCGGGCTCGCAACGCCTAAGCCACGGACGCCGGCTTATTTGTATACAAACTGTTTATTGCCGACCTCTCAGGCAGATGCACCCAAAAGAAACATCCCTAGTTAGTTTTCTGATATGCTTGTTGAGGGGGCGGGGATCTAACCTGTTCTCACTACACTCCAGCCCCTTCAGGCACTCGGGGAGCAGTCAGTCAGTAATTCCGTAGGAAAACATATAGCAGAAAATCCTTGCCTGTATTGTTCATTAAAAACAAATAATTGTTTGTTGACCAGATGTACTGTTTATACATTTTCTTTCCTTCCTTTTTCCGGGAAATTGCTAAAGAGTAGGTGGGGCGCAAATGGGCGTATGTGACTGTTAACAGTTAGTAATTCTTTGGGTCGCATGTAGACAGGAATGATGCAATTTGTAGCTAATAATTTAATTAGTAATTCATGACAATGAACTACATATGCACTGGAAATGCATCAGTTTATAAGTATTCGCTGGTTAAAAATTCACTTAGTAATCTACATAGATTCATTTAGTGCAGGCGAGAATTACTTCAGAGCACTCGGCGTAATAACGTAAGCGATGGTTCCCCGTTTTCAGCTATCTGAACGATACATCAACTCACAACTAGTCATGGCTATGTTCTACTTAATCCAGCTACTATACCTCATCTCACAACTAGTCATGTCTATGTTTTTCCTAATCCAGTAACTATACCTCATCTCACAACTAGTCATGTCTATGTTCTTCTTAATCCAACAACTATACCTCATCTCACAACTAGTCATGTCTATGTTCTTCTTAATCCAGTAACTATACCTCATCTCACAACTAGTCATGTCCATGTTCTTCTTAATCCAGCAATTATACCTCATCTCACAACTAGTCATGTCTATTTTTTTCTTAATCCAGTAACTATACCTCATCTCAAAACTAGTCATGTCTATGTTTTTCTTAATCCAGTAACTATACCTCATCTCACAACTAGTCATGTCTATGTTCTTCTTAATCCAGTAACTATACCTCATCTCACAACTAGTCATGTCTATGTTTTTCTTAATCCAGTAACTATACCTCATCTCACAACTAGTCATGTCTATGTTCTTCTTAATCCAACAACTATACCTCATCTCACAACTAGTCATGTCTACGTTCTTCTTAATCCAGCAACTATACCTCATCTCACAACTAGTCATGTGTACGTTCCTCTTAATCCAGCAACTATACCTCATCTCACAACTAGTCATGTCTACGTTCTTCTTAATCCAGCAACTATACCTCATCTCACAACTAGTCATGTCTACGTTCTTCTTAATCCAGCAACTATACCTCATCTCAAAACTAGTCATGTCTATGTTCTTCTTAATCCAGTAACTATACCTCATCTCACAACTAATCATTTCTATGTTTTTCTTAATCCAGTAACTTTACCTCATCTCACAACTAGTCATGTCTATGTTCCTCCTAATCCAACAACTTTACCTCATCTCACAACTAGTCATGTCTACGTTCTTCTTAATCCAGCAACTTTATCTCATCTCACAACTAGTCATGTCTACGTTCTTCTTAATCCAGCAACTATACCTCATCTCACAACTAGTCATGTGTACGTTCCTCTTAATCCAGCAACTATACCTCATCTCACAACTAGTCATGTCTACGTTCTTCTTAATCCAGCAACTATACCTCATCTCACAACTAGTCATGTCTACGTTCATCTTAATCCAGCAACTATACCTCATCTCACAATTAGTCATGTCTACGTTCTTCTTAATCCAGCAACTATACCTCATCTCACAACTAGTCATGTCTATGTTCTTCTTAATCCAACAACTATACCTCATCTCACAACTAGTCATATGTACGTTCCTCTTGATCCAGCAACTTTACCTCATCTCACAACTAGTCATGTCTATGTTCCTCTTAATCCAACAACTTTACCTCATCTCACAAATAGTCATGTCTATGTTCTTCTTAATCCAGCAACTATACCTCATCTCACAACTAGTCATATGTACATTCCTCTTATTCCAGCAACTATACCTCATCTCACAACTAGTCATGTCTATGTTCTTCTTAATCCAACAACTGTACCTCATCTCAAAACTAGTCATGTCTATGTTCTTCTTAATCCAGCAACTATACCTCATCTCACAACTAGTCATGTCTATGTTCTTCTTAATTCAACAACTTTACCTCATCTCAAAACTAGTCATGTCTATGTTCCTCTTAATCAAACAACTTTACCTCATCACACAACTAGTCATGTGTATGTTCTTCTTAATCCAGCAACTATACCTCATCTCACAACTAGTCATGTCTATGTTCCTCTTAATCCAACAACCTTACCTCATCTCACAACTAGTCATGTGTATGTTCTTCTTAATCCAGCAACTTTACCTCATCTCACAACTAGTCATGTCTATGTTCCTCTTAATCCAACAACCTTACCTCATCTCACAACTAGTCATGTCTATGTTCTTCTTAATCCAGCAACTATACCTCATCTCACAACTAGTCATGTCTATGTTCTTCTTAATCCAACAACTATACCTCATCTCACAACTAGTCATGTCTATGTTCTTCTTAATCCAACAACTTTACCTCATCTCACAACTAGTCATGTCTATGTTCTTCTTAATCCAACAACTATACCTCGTCTCACAACTAGTCATATGTACGTTCCTCTTAATCCAACAACTTTACCTCATCTCACAACTAGTCATGTCTATGTTCTTCTTAATCCAACAACTTTACCTCATCTCACAAATAGTCATGTCTATGTTCTTCTTAATCCAGCAACTTTACCTCATCTCAAACCTAGTCATGTCTATGTTCTTTTTAATCCAACAACTTTACCTCATCTCACAACTAGTCATGTCTATGTTCTTCTTAATCCGACAACTTTACCTCATCTCACAACTAGTCATGTCTATGTTCTTCTTAATCCAACAACTATACCTCATCTCACAACTAGTCATGTCTATGTTCTTCTTAATCCAACAACTTTACCTCATCTCACAACTAGTCATGTCTATGTTCTTCTTAATCCAACAACTATACCTCATCTCACAACTAGTCATATGTACGTTCCTCTTAATCCAACAACTTTACCTCATCTCACAACTAGTCATGTCTATGTTCTTCTTAATCCAGCAACTTTACCTCATCTCACAACTAGTCATGCCTATGTTCTTCTTAATCCAACAACTATACCTCATCTCACAACTAGTCATGTCTATGTTCTTCTTAATCCAACAACTTTACCTCATCTCACAACTAGTCATATCTATGTTCCTCTTAATCCAGCAACTATACCTCATCTCACAACTAGTCATGTCTATGTTCTTTTTAATCCAACAATTATACCTCATCTCACAACTAGTCATGTCTATGTTCTTCCTAATCCAGCAACTATACCTCATCTCACAACTAGTCATGTCTAAATTCTTTTTAATCCAACAATTATACCTCATCTCACAACTAGTCATGTCTATGTTCTTCTTAATCCAGCAACTTTACCTCATCTCACAACTAGTCATGTCTATGTTCTTCTTAATCCAACAATTATACCTCATCTCACAACTAGTCATGTCTATGTTCTTTTTAATCCAACAACTTTACCTCATCTCACAACTAGTCATGTCTATGTTCCTCTTAATCCAACAACTTTATCTCATCTCACAACTAGTCATGTCTATGTTCTTCTTAATCCAACAACTATACCTCATCTCACAACTAGTCATGTCTATGTTCTTCCTAATCCAACAACTTTACCTCATCTCAAACCTAGTCATGTCTATGTTCTTCTTAATTCAACAACTATACCTCATCTCACAACTAGTCATGTCTATGTTCTTCTTAATCCAACAACTATACCTCATCTCACAACTAGTCATGTCTATATTCTTCTTAATCCAACAACGTTACCTCATCTCACAACTAGTCATGTCTATGTTCTTCTTAATCCAACAACTATACCTCGTCTCACAATTAGTCATGTCTATGTTCTTCTTAATCCAACAACTATACCTCATCTCACAACTAGCCATGTCTATGTTCTTCTTAATCCAGTAACTATACCTCATCTCACAACTAGTCATGTCTATGTTCTTCTTAATCCAACAACTATACCTTATCTCACAACTAGTCATGTCTATGTTCTTCTTAATCCAACAACTATACCTCATCTCACAACTAGTCATGTCTATGTTCTTCTTAATTCAACAACTATACCTCATCTCACAACTAGTCATGTCTATGTTCCTCTGCAGTCTAAATCCAAACCTCATGTAATCACTGATCATGTCTATGTTCTTTAACCAGCAACCACTCCTCATCTTCTTCTCCACTTCCTCTGTTACAGCTTCAGGTGTGCAGGGAGATATGAGGTTCTGCTTCTCGCTCTTCTGGCCGCCTCGATCATAGACACATCGTGCCGCAGTAAAGTTTCTCTGATGTTATCTTTTCATCGTATTCTTGGTCTGCCTCGTGATCTATTATACCTTCTCCTCTTTTTGTTGTATGACTGGTGTAGTATGAGGTAACAAGGCATTATCTCTAACCATTTGATTTGCTGTCCTTGTATGCCAGTTATAATTGGTTCTGTGCCGACTTTTTTTTAATAGCCTAACTTCTGATTGTATTTCCTTTGGTCATCCTGCAGACTTTCACATATTTGATGTCCTGTGTCTTCAATGTGGCCGTCTGGTGATGTTCTCCACCAACATTGTAAATGACCTTCCCCCTAAACTCCCCTCCGCCACCCCTTGTTTCCCCAGCACACAATGTTAAAGGCGCCTGTCTTTCTGTGCCTGGGGAGTAGGGGAGTTGTTTGACAATGATTCCAGACAGCGATGTTGACTTTCTTCTGCAGCTTCTGTGAAGGATTTCTGTGGTATGTGTTTGTTGCCATCCCTTTCTGTTTGTTAGTGTGTGTAAAAGTAAAGTCGGGAGATATGAACCAGCATCATTGCACACGATTATAAACCATAAGTGCTCTGCTACCAGTACGGACAGTTGATAAGAATTGTCCGCCTGTGTCGCCATTCGCACGTAACTCTGTAGCTACAGCTACATTCCTCCATTTACCCCAGAGTGTCAACTCTGGTACCCATTTCCTAGAGGCTGAGTGAACCCAAGGAACCGCACGGTTTCGAACACCGACCCTGGGCTGTAGCAAGTCGCAGCTGGATTTGACAGCGAGCTCCTTATCGACTGCGCTAACGCGGCCCCGTTAGTATGTGTGAAGTGATCTACATGAGTGTAAGCAAGTCCAGGATGTTCAACATGTTTCTGTACCCATATGTCAACATTTGGATGAAAGTCACAGCAATAACAGCAAACAAAGAGTCAAATGATAAACTAATTGATGTTTGTAAAACAATCAAGTAAAATGTGTGTTAATTCTTACCGTATTGATAGTTGAACTTCTTACAGATTCGATATGATGGCTTCCGTCTTTTACACGGGCAGTCTGTTGGAGGGGAAAGATGTCATGTTTTACAATGTTTCAGTTTTAACAAATGTAATTACTTGTCACATTCCAGTGTGGTTTAACAGTACCTGTTTTAATAGATTTAACTACTTGTCACATTTTTGTATGGTTTAACAACGTCTTTGTTTTAATAGATGTAATTACTTGCCACATTGCAGTACAGTTTTACAATATATCTGTTTTAACACGATAACTCATGATGTACCGTACCGATGTGTGCAATCTGTCATGTTTCGCTATACTGCATGATCACCACATTCAGCAGTCGAGTCAGTCTTTTTGCCTCTCCCCATTCTTTGTCGTCTTCTTCTTCTTCGCGTTCACCAGTTGCACACACGTGAGGAACTTTCTAGACGTTCGTCCACTTCTGGACTTTGCTCTTTTTTCCTAAACAGGAGTTAAATGAGTTTTACATGCTTCTCCGTTTTTCCAGATTTGGCTTATGTGTATGCAAATTGTTGGTTCCTGGCCTCTCAGGCAGATGCACCCTAACTTCGAAGGAAACTCTTCATTAGTCGACTCTTGCTTAGGGGGGCTGTGGTCTATTTTCTTTATCGACTCACAATAGGGCACCGGAACGCGCACAGATATTGACACATAGCCATTTTCACAATAGTGACCACACTGGTCTGCTAACCATAGCTATGTTCACTATAGTGACCACACTGGTCTGCTAACCATAGCTATGTTCACTATAGTGACCACACTGGTCTGCTAACCATAGCTATGTTCACTATAGTGACCACACTGGTCAGCTAACCATAGCCATTTTCACTATACTGACCACACTGGTCAGCTAACCATAGCCATTTTTACTATACTGACCACAATGGTCAGCTAACCATAGCCATGTTCACTATAGTGACCACACTGGTCTGCTAACCATAGCCATTTTCACTATACTGACCACACTGGTCAGCTAACCATAGCCATTTTCACTATACTGACCACACTGGTCAGCTAACCATAGCCATTTTCACTATACTGACCACACTGGTCAGCTAACCATAGCCATTTTCACTATACTGACCACACTGGTCAGCTAACCATAGCCATTTTCACTATACTGACCACACTGGTCAGCTAACCATAGCCATGTTCATTATAGTGACCACACTGGTCTGCTAACCATAGCCATTTTCCCTATACTGACCACACTGGTCAGCTAACCATAGCCATTTTCACTATACTGACCACACTGGTCAGCTAACCATAGCCATGTTCATTATAGTGACCACACTGGTCTGCTAACCATAGCCATTTTCACTATACTGACCATACTGGTCAGCTAACCATAGCCATGTTCACTAAAGTGACCGCATGCACAGAGGCGAGAGAAAACACCATGTTCACCAACTCATCTTTACACATTTGATAACTCGTGGCTAGGATACATTCACACGACATGTTCAACAACTTATCTATACTAACTTGATAACTCGTGGCTAAGATACATTCATACGACATGTTCAACAACTTATCTATACTAACTTGAAAACGCCTGGCTAAGATACATTCACACGACATGTTCAACAACTCATCTATACTAACTTGAAAACGCCTGGCTAAGATACATTCACACGACATGTTCAACAACTCATCTATACTAACTTGAAAACGCCTGGCTAAGATACATTCACACGACATGTTCAACAACTCATCTATACTAACTTGAAAACGCCTGGCTAAGATACATTCACACGACATGTTAAACAATTCATTTATACCAACCTGATAACGCGTGGTTAAGATACATTCACGTGAGAGATAAAATATACGGTAAAGAGGGATTTTGGATCTGCTCCTTAGTCAAAGCAGGAGTTGTGGATGTGGGGGGAGGGGGAGGGGGTGCCAAGATACCTGAGCACCCAGGTTCTGGCGCTCACGGACTTGAGAAAACACTTTATACAACTACTGGTTTGTTTTTGAGACTGACTCGCTAGGCAGTGAAGATCAATTGTTATACCACTCCTTTCCCCTCTTCCAAAACCAAAACTTTTGGAAGTCAAGCATGCGTCTCCAACACTGCTATCGTGGCTTCTCTGGCCGATCTATGTATATATTAGAGCTGTACCGTATATGTGATTTTTCACTTCTCGGCCAACTACGAATAAAGGGACCAACTATTTAGCCGAATACGAATACAAATAGTGTGTATGTAAGTCATCATCATCATATAGCAGGTCGTTTGCGGAACGTCGCTCTCATCACAGTCTGCCCCCCCCCCCCCCCCCCCCCCCAAAAAAAAAAAACTCGGTCTCTCGCCAGTTCTCCTGCCTCATGAACTTACATACTCAAGGAGTCACTTATATCCTGTGCCCATCTTCGTGTCGGTCGGCACCTGCCCCTCCTTCCTGGTACCATGCCTTTTGCCAAAATTGTTTCCAGTCCGTCGTGGCGCTTGATATGACCAAACTATTTCAGCTTCCGAGACAGGATGCTGTTTATTAGCCAATCTTCCTTGATTTTAAGATCTTTCAAGATGTCAATGTTTCTCCTCTTCTTTGTCCAAGTTATTCTGAGAATCTGTCTATGGCATTTCAACTCAAAAGCCCCTATTCTCTTTCTTAAATACTGCTAGACAGTCCACGACTCACATCCGTATGTACCCACAGGGAAGATGCATGCTCTCACAATTCTAATTTTGATCTCCTTTCTGGTGCTTAACCATAAACTTTTGAGGCTGTTCAATGTGTATGTAAGTACGTTGATGAAAAATACAAGTTCTTGTTGAAACTGTAAAAGATTGTATCCACTCCAGAGGAGCAGGGAATGTAGTTGAATCTTATCGCCAAATTCAGTAATGACACCCGCCTTCAGTATCACAGCTCCCTGTCTCTATGCCGAGTCTCTATCCCTCTCTATGCCCACTGAGCTAGCAAAGTCTCTATCCCTCTCTATGCCTACTGAGCTAGCAAAGTCTCTATCCCTCTCTATCCCCACTGAGCTATCAAGAATGTACTATCAAAGAAAAAGCCGATGTCGGTAAAGACAAAGTTGACTGTCAGTAAAACAGTGTTGGAATACAAACAGTTTGAGGCGATTTAACTGGCTAAGAAGCGTGTCCGGTCTGAGAAATGAATCCTGTTACATCCTGCTTACACGTGATCGTCCAAGCGTGTCACTTTCCCCACACCTACAGCAAAGGGATCATCCATGGACGGAGACAAAAAGAACTCTTCCCAGTATGAGGTGGAAACTAAAGACGGTTGATCTGCCAGCCCAGCGCTGTTTCAGGGTGCCCATATTTGCGGAATGCATCCCAGGAGGTCTATGAGAAACCTTTCATGCCTTGTCACGGAACGGTGCTATTGTCACCCACTGTCGGCGGCGTCTGCTAGTCAGGTGGCGCCTGTCTGTGACGAATAGGTTACCGTGACAGACCGTCACTGATGGGTGGTCCCTAACCGCAACAGTATCCGCAGTAGACGTGATGAGAAAGTTTCGATTAATTCGTAATCCAATACGAAGACTTTACGTTGGATCAATGCTACGTTCTTCTGAACATTTTAAATGTCACCCAAAGCAACTGATGTTTTCAAATATCTAGCCAACCTGACGAAGAATGGTTACACGTTTGTTTAGTTTGGACTATACATAGGCGCGATAGTAAATGCATACAACTTGCGCTGTTTTCCGTCTCCGTGCTGCTAATGAAAGCTTACACATTACTGCGACTCAGAGAGTTGTATCTTGGGTGCCAGTCAAACCGACAAATCTCCAATATCCCGTTATGTTTTCGTTAACTAGGACACCCGTGGCGGTTACATCAAGTTCACGTGGTTTTAAATATTTATTCAATCTTCAAATTCATTAGGGAACAATAAGTGAAATGGTTTGGTCACCTGACGAGAATGCCCTGGTACCAACTGTCACAGAGAGCCATGCTGAAGAAATATAATAAACACAGAGCAAGGGGAAGACCATGCAAGTATGGAGCGACATCATCAGCCTAACAGAAATGAACACCAGCTTGTACAATCCATTTGAGCAAGGGCACAAACGATCCTTACCTCCCCCCCCCCCCCCCCAACACCTCGCTGAGGTAAATGCTGAAGAAAAGAAGAAGATCCAGTCTTTAATTAATACCCTCTACCCCACTCTCTACCCACCCCACCACCACCCCAATCCTCCAGTTATATACTCGTCAGTTGACCTATGACATTCTGTTGGATGCGGTAGTCTGACGGGACATTGTTTAAAATACTGTTGCTTTGAGACTAGAGTCGGACTCCACCACCCCCCCCCCCTTCCCCCCCCCCCCCCCCACCATCACACACGCACACAAAAGTTGTAACGGAACCAGCAGTACGGCGGGGTGTAGTACTAGTAGTACATTTCACCCCACCAGGACACCACACAAGCGATAAACACCCGATGACACAACGTGCCACCATGTGGATGAGGATCATCCGTGGAGAGGTCCAGAAACCACGTTCAGTCACTATACCATATTTATGTTCAGGCTATATTGCGGCCCCTGGCAAGAGCCAGAGTGGGGCTTCAAAATAACGAAAAATTGCATCCGATAGGGAAATGATTAAGGCTGCTACACGGCGGGGAAGATACGGACTTCAGTTATTATGACAAGTAAGGAACACTTTCCCACCATTAGCGCATGGGGAATATGGTGCTAGAAAAACAGATATCAGACTAGTCGGCCCTCGATGGATGATGTCGTCATGACCTTGATCGCCTTTACTTCCCTGGCTTCAAACGTAAGACATTTAAGCCAGAAGTAGCCTACCAGTGAGCTTTAGATTTATTAGCTTTGGTAAAGGTAAAGTCAGGAGATGTGAACTAGCGTCATTGCACACGGTTATAAACCATAACTAGTACGGACGCCTGTGTCGCCGTTCGCACGTAACTCCGTAGCTACAGCGACGTTCCTCCATTCGCCCCAGAGTGTCAGTCAACTCAGGTACCCATTTCCTAGAGGCTGGGTGAACCCCGGGAACCACCCGGTTTCAAACACTGACCTTAGCTCCAGCGAATCGCAGCTGGATTTTAAAGCGAGCCTCCTATCGACTGCGCTAACACGGCTCCCATTAGCTTTGGTGTCAGCAGTAAAGCAAGTCAAGGGGAGAGAAATCTCGTGTGCAGTTAGAATGTTACTTTGTCAGATTTATGTCCCTTGTCTGTGCTTTTACCGAAATGATTGGACTGAAGTAAAAGCTATCTGTCAGATTCACACAATCAATTATAAAAACATTTTTATGTTAGAGCCACTCCACCGTTGGTTTCTTGTCATCGTTCAGCTGATAAAGGCTAATCGCCTCCGCGTCCTTTGTTTGGTATAATCGATGACGTGAAGCTGGAAAGGAGGGGGAAGAGGAGGAGGTGGTGGGTGAAGAAGAGGGAGGAAGAGATAAGTAGAAGGACGAGAATTCTGCATATTTTACAATATAACAAGAGCATGAAGTCTGTGTTTTATGATTTGACTTTCTGTATGATTCTAGATCAATCCTGTACTATACAGATTTACTGAGCTCAGACGATTGATTCATTGAGTCTAGACAGTCAATCCATTAAGTTCAGATCATCGATCTATTGAATCCAGACTTTAAGTCCTCTGAATCCAGGTAGGTCGTTAGAATTCCAGTTCTGACGGTTGTTATTCTTGTCTTCATATCCTGGTAATATTGGTTTTATGTTCAAAGCACACGGGTCACCCCATAATTTCTCCACTCCTGTGCAAAAAAAAAAAAAAATAAACCAGAATGTCCTTCACTGTCCCTTGGGGGAAAAAAATTGGCACAAAGTGCTGTCTCAGGAAATCCACTTGCATACACAGGTATTGAAAGCATGAGGCAGCCATCAGAAGTACCAACACAAACAGTCCTACATTATAAATGCAGTTCATCGTGGACGGAAGTAGCAGTAACAAAAAGATCAGCAGTTGCACACGCGATCAATTCTGACCACACGAGGGACCACTAATTCTGTGGTAACAGGCCACGTGCCGATTGTTTAATCTACAGTTTACAACACAACGTGGTCACAGTCGAAAAACATTCCAAATGAAATCTGCAGCTCACAGTACCGCACCATGCACCCAACTCAGTAGCTGGGCGACGAAACTATATCCTCTCAGTCTAAAAATTTAGATAAAAAGGCAACGGCCACCGTCTGTCAAAAAAAAAAAAAAAATTGTCACGACTAAACACAGTGACTGTGCCTAGCGAAAGTGTCTTCATAATGATTGCCAATGTGAGAATTGATATCATGGCACATCCATATATGCACCCACCATCGCAGCAAATGTCTTATACTGCAGATGCCGACTGTGTTCATAACCAAGTCTAGTATAAATAATTAGACTGACAACACTCACGCCTGTCGCACTTGTGTTCATATTTCAAATGTATGTGTAAGGCCTCCCCCCCCCCCTTTTTCCCAATAAAAACTTGAAAGTTCGTTGATTTGTAGGTTGACATTGATTTTTCCCCGGTAGGTCCTATCAATTCCCCAGCAGATTTCTTATCAATATTTGCAAACACATATTCATAGATTTGTAAATGCTCAATATGATTTTGTGTGCCGTGGTATGGTGATCCTAGCATTGCTATTATTCAGGATGTGGACAAACACACCGCATCCTATGACGAATTCACTGTACTCAAAAATGGTGAATTAATTAATTGCCAATGTTCAGTCATTACATCGTCTCTCTTTCCCCATGTTCTCTTCGACACATGTAGTGTCTGTTTATGTCGCCTTTTCGGCACCCATCAACAGTTTCGTATTAACGTCTTTTTTTCTTCTTCCCAAAGCAGCTTGTTTACCGTTGGTAATTAAAAAATTATAATTTTTGTTCATAATCAAAAGCATTGTAACTACATGCAATAATTAAAAAAAAAAAATCAAATTAAACATAGTTAAATGTTTACGTGTAGTCCTTTGAAATATCTAATCCCATTTTCCCCCATAATTCAATCCAATTATTTGCTAGTGGGTTACACTGGATCATCATGAACTTCCCCCCACAACCACCAACACCACCACTCTATGTCTCCTTCCGAACGCTTGTGTTTTCACAGAACTCACTCCTTCCAACTCTTTTAATTATTTCTCTGCCTATTTAGAAAACATATAAACCATTTCGTGTTTGTGAAGGAGATTTTCCCATGTATACTCTAAGAACAGCGCCTTTTTACTTGTCTTTCCACGCCGTGGGAGAGACAGCCAGCCACCTAGACAGACACACAGACAGGCAGACAGACAGTCAGACAAGGAAGCTAAACATCCTCAAACGATTGTAGCTACTGACCTGTGCTTGTTTTGGTGGGCTTGACGAAGGCCTCTGGACTGACACACACACCTCTCTCATAGCTCGGCAACTGGGAGCAGTCCAAAGATTCAGGCCAGGGCACCTTGTAGGCGTTCATGAGCGGTTCACAGCCGGCCCGAGCTCTCTCGCAGACACTCCGACACGGTGGAATGGCATCGGGCTGCAAGGAGACAGCACAGATAGGCACATAGATGGAACACAGCAGGAACAAGAGGACGTCGCTGCAGTGTTGGTCTATGAGAATCTCAAACTTCTCGAAGACCAGGCGGGCGTTCTCTTGCGTGTTGTGGTGCATCAGGTTCGGCATCTGTGTCATGTTGTATGGCATGGCGCGGCAGCGAGCTATTTCAATCGGTTCACATTGATCGATCCTTGTGACGTAGGCCATAGATGACCTCACAGAAAATATGATCATCACACTGGTGGCTATCAACAGTGTGGCTGTCATCTTGTGATATCCGATCTACACAAGTTGGAGACTATTAACTGACGCAGGCTCTATTTTTCGAAATTGGCTTTCCTGTTTTTAAGGCAAACAAATCTAGCATAGAGTGTTGGATGTCAAAGTGGGTAACTGGATAAGGTTAGTCATCGACACTTTTCAATATTTGTTGGTTTTAATTATAGTATAAACGTCTGCCTTTCAGGGATAACAAAACTAGTAACCCAGTGTAGAGCTCTTCTGTTGGTGGTAGTGATAAAACAAGTACAAACTGCTGAACATATTTCAGATTTTGTTTTTATTATGGTGATACACGCTTTAGCAATACCGGAAGGGAGATGTGCTTGTTGTTCTGAATAATCCCGCTGACAAAGAAGTATATCTCTTTAACTTGAAATCTATTTATCTAAACAAGCCCTATTCTATAATGTAAAATCACTAATGGCTAATTTTGTGAACAAATCACCAGTAAAATGGTGACATGTTCTTGCCAAATAGGCGCTTGCATTTTGTCTTTGAAGTAATCTAGCTGCGGCTTGTCTTGGCAAATGCTATCACAGACAAAACACTTGATCTTGTAGTTATCTATTCTTTTGATGGGATACACGATTAAACACTTGGTATTTACAGCTATCTAGTCGTTGCTTGACGGGACCAATGTTATAATAGACATATGACAAAACACTTTGCCTGAAAAGTTACTTAGTTATTGTTTGTCTGAACTAATGTTAGCCTAATTACACAAACACCACACCTTTATCTAATCGTTGCTCGTTGGAACAAATATTAAAATTGGTACACAATAAACGCCTGATCTCTAAAGTTACCAAGTCACTGTTTGTCGAACTAATCTTATCACAGATACACCAATAAACGCCTGATCTCTACAGTTACCTAGTCACTGTTTGTCGAACTAATCTGATCACAGATACACCAACAAACACATGGGCTCTACAGTTATCTGATTGTTGTTTACTGAAACAAGTGTTACAATTGATACACGGCATGACATTTGATTGATGTGAAGTTTGTTACCAGTAAAAGTTACCAGACGATGCATGGAAGGAGACATCATGTGTCCTTGCCTGAACACCGGTATTTAACTGTGGCGAGAACTTGATTACAACTGTGATAATATCATCACCGTATGTCAACATAACTATTGTAATCTCCACGAAATGTTCGATAAACGATTAATTTTTACTTTTAATTGCTTTCAGTTTTCCACGTAATTTATTTCTAGTCACGTTTGATAGTAACAATTCCTGTAACAACCGCGTAGCTCAGTCAGTAGCTTAATGGAGCTGGTAGTAATAACCTGGTATTTGTACTACCTGTGTCGTACTCCGATCAAAGGCTACAGGTGTCAACCCGATGTCCTTGGAACATCTCGCACCGCAAGATTGGTCACGCCTACACTTCCATAGTTTCCAGAAAAAGGGGGAAAAGCTTGCTTTCTCTACCGCCTGGCTTGTCAATCTTCCTACCCCGCCCTTTTGACACCCACTGACTCGTGCTGCGTCAGTTGATCGTCTACGTCAAACTAGCGCCGAATCAGCTTCGTCTCGCCGAGGTCTACAGTCAGACTCTTCTGCTAGTCTGTGATTCCTGATGTCAACTTCAGACATGGAAAAGTCTGTGAAGTCATGACAGAAATTCTAAAAGTCATAAAAAGCTTCCTAAAGTCATGACAGAAATTCCAAAAGTCACGAAAAGCTTCGTTAAGTCATAACAAATTTTCAGCCCATACGAAAAGTTGACCTGGTCAGATTTACGCAAAGATTATTTCGAGAGAAAAAAATCATTTTGATAAACACTTCTTACCTTTCTCATTGTAGTGTAACAGATTACAATTGCAACACTTGGAGCTTAAGTTACAGTGCACAATAACAGATAAGGAATCCATGCACTACTAACTCGGGGGTGGGGATTGGGGGGGGATCTGAGTAGAGGTTGTCGAAGACATTCACCAGCGAAGAGGAAACACAGACAAGCTTACATTCAGATTGCAGCCGTTACTACTAACATGTCAACTCTTGGTTGGTTACTGAAGAGGGGAGACGGAGCACCCGCGAGAAAGTCCCAAGTGTAGTGATGTCAATTCTTGATTCGTTCGCTCATTGATCCATTCCTTCTTTTATTTAGTGCTTAATTTTGATAATTCTTCTTCTTCTTCTTCTGCCCTTCTATCACCCAATGGAGCATAGGCCCTCAACCAACTCACACCAAGTCGTTCTATCCTTCGCCATTGCATGGAGCTCTCCCCATGTCCTCCCAATCTTTCTAACCTCGTTCTCCAGCTCTCTTCTCCGTGTGTTTTTTGGCCTTCCTTTATTCCTATGCCCCTGTGGGTTCCAATGCAAAGACATTCTAGTTATGCTGTTCTCCTGTTTTCTCAGTGTGTGCCCTATCCAACGCCAGCGTCTTTTCCTCACCTCCTGATCCACTGGAGCCTGTTTAGTTCTCTCGCAAAGTTCTACATTAGTTATTCAATCATACCATTTTATTCCCTCTATTCTGCGCAGGCACCAGTTAATGAATGTCTGTAATTTATTTGGTTGTTCTCCATGTTTCCGCCCCTTACAATAATACTGATTTGACATTAGAATTAAAAATTTTTAGTTTAGTATTTCTTTTAATTTCTTTTGACCTCCACAAATTCCCTAGTGCTATTAAAGCCCCTCTTGCCTTTTGTATTCTAATTTTAATATCTCTATCAGTTCCTCCATTTTTATCTACATTACTGCCTAAATAGGTGTACGACTCCACGTCTTGGAGTGGGTTGCCATTAAGAGAAACCACATTACTATTTGCCTGATTCATTCTCATTATCTTTGTCTTTCCTTTATGGATTTTCAGACCAAGCTGCTGTGATCTCGCATTAAGTATATTTAATCTATCTTGTATCTGATTCCGTGAATGGGACAGAAGAGCAATATCATCAGCGAAGTCTAGATCATCAAGCTGTTTTGTAGGGGTCCACTGAATTCCATTCTTGATGTTAGCAGTTACTGTTTTCATAGTCCAGTCTATAGCCAGTAAAAATAAGAGAGGCGACAAAAGACATCCCTGTCGCACACCTGTTTTTATTTCAAATGCATCTGTTAGCTTTCCCTCATGAAGAACTCGACATTTCATGTCTTTATATGTTGCCTTTACTAAGTTGATAATTTTCTGTGGGATTCCATAGTGCCCCATCAATTTCCAGAGAGAGATTCCCTGTCATTGCTGTCAAATGCTTTTTCATAGTCTATAAATCCAATGTAAAGTGGTGAGTTCAGTTCAATGCTTTGCTCTATTATAATACGTAATGTGGCTATCTGATCAGTACAGGATCTGTTTGACCGAAAACCTGCCTGCTCATCTCTTAGCATTTTATCAATAGCATCTTTTAATCTTTCCAAAATAATTCTACTTAATATTTTTCCAGGAACTGACAGGAACATAATTCCTCTATAGTTTTCCCACTCCTGTAGATCACCTTTTTTGGGCAGTTTCACAAGATATCCTTCTCTCCAGTCTGCTGGTATTTCTTCAGTCTCCCTGACTTTACTGAATAATCTATGTAGCAATTCTGTTGATGTGTTTATGTTGGTCCTGATGGCTTCAGCTGGGATACCATCTGGGATAATAAATAAGGAAAATATGTTATCAACCAATCAGATTAGTCCCTTTTCGTGAATACGTTACTCTGAAGCTTCGTTTACTCCCACACGTGGACACTGAGCAGAAGAAAGGCATAAACTTAAGCTTCTACAAGCAGCAGTTATTTACAACATGAATTTTGAATAAGAGACTTTCTGTGCCGATCGTCTCACGTAATTTGAATGATTTAAGTAACGAAGTCGGGCCCAGGGAGACTGTGACTGGACGTTCGTTCATTCAGGCGTACTAACCTCTGTAGTCTAAGTCAAACCGAAAGTACCACAATGCCTAATAACACATCCAAGTAGAGCTTGTTCGCTTTGCGGAAAAAACTTTGTCATGTTCAACCAGCACCCCCAAAGGGGAAGCTTTAGGTTATAATTGTGACTAGGTTATGTGTGCTATATAAAATGGCTCGCCACCAAGTAGCCCTTAAAAGAAATCCCGCAGTGTTGATGCGATCAACGGAGATAGACCCAAATACTGTCCCAACCGGCAACGAAGTCGTCTACCGGACAACCTAGTCGCTGATGTGAGCAAAGTATAGAATACAATTGAATTTACATTGGAATATGGACTATGGAAAGGGGTTTGACATCATTAAAACGGAATCTCTCTGGAAATGGATGATCCACTATAGGATTCCACAGACAGTTATTAATTTTGCAAAGCAAGATGAAAACAAAAATATAAACAGGGATGCCACAGGGAGACGTCTTGTCCCCTCTGTTATTCTTACTGGCAATAGACTGGATTATAAAGGCAGCAACAACCACCACCAGCAATGGAATTCAGTGGACCCCCATAGAACAGTTTGATGACCTGGACTTTACAGATGACATTTCTTTCCTATCCCACTCAACGAAATCTGATGTAAAAATATTTAAACATACTTGATGAGATATCCAAAAAATTATGTCTAAAACTGCACAAGGCATTTACAAAGATAATGAAAATACACGAAGTAAACAGTAATTTAGTTTCTCTTGTCGAAGGACACCTGACTGACAGACATTAAAGCCTTAAAAGCAGGACGTTTGTTCCGTTTGAACCAAGGTTTGTCAGACCATAATTATCCATCTGTGCCTTCGCAATGTTCAGTCGGCTCCAACGGACCCTTACAACATGTAACTTGTCATGTTTCAGTTCACCACCAAATTGGGCAGAAGCAGCCAGTCTATCTGCTTGTTCATGTTCAAATAGATTGACATACCCTGGAGAAAATAACCAAATGGCGTTAATTTCCCGGGACCTCTGAAGCGATGCTTGTCAATATTCCCAGTATACCTGTCTCCACCTTTCCCAATATGCTCTGTGGGTCAGTTACAGTTAAGACGCGAGTGTACAGCGGATTCTTAAGC